TTGACAGGACAGGCTGCAGGGCCACCCTCCCTGCCCCCAGCGCCATCCCCGGGGAGGACCCCCAGGACAGCTACTGGGGCCCCTACCCTGCGTCCTGGGGCAGGCACCAGCGCCACCCTCCCTGCCCCCAGCGCCATCCCCGGGGAGGACCCCCAGGACAGCTACTGGGGCCCCTACCCTGCGTCCTGGGTCCCCAAGGCCTCAAGGGGCAACATGTACACGCTGGCCGAGGTGGCCCCGGCAGAGAAGGCCTATCAGACCACGTGCCAGCAGTTCCACGCCACGCTGGCCGAGGACAAGGCGCTGGTGCTGGCCGTCTACCGGGTCCGGAACGACTACCTGTGGCAGAAGTACTGTGGGTAAGGAGGGCTGGGCACGGGTTGTGGGCTTTCCCGTGGTGCCCTTGCTGCTGGCTGATCCGTGTGCGGAATAAGTTTTGCTCCGTGCACCAGTGTGCACGGGGAGGGGCACCACCTAGTCAGCTGGGCGGCACCCGGATCTCTGTCGGTGACCCCCCCGCTCCCTCTGTCTCCCTAGCCAGAAGCAGTTCATGGCCCGCGGCCGGCGTGGGCGGAGGCGCCGCTTGGAGATCCACCTCTTCCACGGCACCGTGCCCGACAAAGTGCGGCCCATCTGCGAGATGAACTTTGACCCCCGGGTCTCCGGGGAGAACGGCACGGCGTACGGGCAGGGCAGCTACTTCGCCGCGGCCGCCTCCTACTCCCACGGTTACGCCAGGAGGCGCTGGCAGAGCCCGTGGCCGTGAGCGCGTGAGGGGCGGGCGCCGGGCGGAAATACAGGGCTGTGTCCTTAGCACCCTCCTGCCGTGTTCCTAGCGCGGCCCAGACCGCGGCCTCGCGTCTCAGCCTGGCAGGGCTGGCCCTCGTCTAGGGGGGTTGGCAGCCGTGCAGCGCCGGGGGGGGCGCGTGGAAAAGCCGGGTGCCCCCGGCACGGCCCAGAAGAGCTGGCTGTGCCCCCCTCCCTTCCCCGGATCTCTGCTCCGCGTCTCCCCAACCCTGCTGGGAGGAGGGGGAAGAGCCCCAGAGAATGAGTCTTGCAGAGCGCGGGAGGATGGGGTCAGATGACAGCCCTGCCCTCCCCCCAGGGCAGCGGAGGGGTCAGCACTGCTGGGAGCTGCTTGTGGCGGGGTTGTGGGTCGCACACACCCCTCCCCTACGGTCCTGGCAGTGGGGGTCCCATGGGAGGCGGGGTCCTTGTGGGAAACACCCTTAAAGACTTGCCCTCCGGCTCTGCACCCAGGGTTGTGCCTTGGACACTGGCATCAGCTAAGGCGACCAGTCCCCCTCACGCCGACCCACAGCCCCTGCCCCACAGCTGTGGGCTCTCAGCCCTGTCGGTGCCCCTCACGCCGACCCACAGCCCCTGCCCCACAGCTGTGGGCTCCCAGCCCTGCCAGTCTGCCTCAGTCCTGCCCCACAGCCCTTTCCATCCCCCTGAGTCTCCGCCATGTTTCCGCCCCTGTGGGCGGGGGAGAACAGCTAAACCCACGGCTTGGGGCTTGCCACGGGGGCACAACGGAGCCGAGGTGGCAGGAGGGTACCCCCAGGCGCCTGGCTGCCTCATGCCAGCAGGGGGTGCTCTTTGCTTGCAGAAGCCCCCGCCAGGCAGGCTTTCCGCGGGGAAGTGGTACCTAGTGGTTAGAGAGGCCGGATGGG